TAGCTCGTGAAAAGTCCCCTCCTTTCCTCTTCATATTATGTTTGTTTGGCACACTATTTTCGATCTTTATCACTATTAAATTCAATGCATTAAATAAACATTTAGTCACACGGCGTGACTAATTTTTGTCCATAATGTCTGTACTCCACTGTCTAAAATAATTGAACCTAGATATAGTCCATATCTAACGAGATAGTTGAGTTACACAAGCATATCTTTAATTACTGTCTTGTAATAAACCAGAAAAATTGGAAAAAAATAGTCTTACATGTTCAAGTTTAAGAACTAACCAAGTTTGTACTAATGACTTCGGGTGACGGTCGTAATCTTTCGCCCCTTTATCTTGAATCCGAGCATCCCTTCCTACGTACTTTTCCACTGTTCTTAAATCATATTCGTAAGGTTTAATCTTACCTTTTTTATCATTGCCACTACATTTCTTTGATCCAATGTCACTCATATCGTCGTCCTAATCAGGTATGACAGCTCGCGGCAACGCACATCTGTAGGGAGCTCTGTGTTGATGTCTACCAGTCTTCTAATGATATCTCTAGCTCAATTTAAAGTAGATGAAAGCGCTGTTCCCAATACCTATTGCACAATTTTTAGTGTCGACATAGATTAGTCGTATTTCTTGGATATCTTTGAGTTTTAATATCTTCATCTTTGATCGGTCAACGTCAACCTTTAATCGCAATCGCTCCAAATAATGCACATGTGAGAGCGAATTAAGTGATTAAATTTTCTTAAAGCGGTGCATGGAAAGTTCGAGACATCACACCCGATTCAGCGTTACAAAGACCTCTACACTTTCAGTGGCTGCTCTATTAATCAGCCTTGACTTAGTGTCCGTCCGAGCAAAAAAGTGCATTGGTATTCGTGTTCTTTACTGTATTATGCATAAATCCATCTAAATAAAGTCAGTGATAGAAAATCATTTATACATCCAATTGAAAAAATTGAAACATGAATTTACGTTTTATTCTAAACAAATCAAAACGTAAATGTATGTAGTTTACTCATTTTCATTTGCCTCCCAAAGTGCCGTTACTAATGTCAGACTTCGTATTAAAATTTCAGTGAGCATGATTTATACGTGATGGTCGCAAATGCCGACGATTAATAAGTTTCTTACACCGTTTTACCTTTAATTGTCACATTTTAGTTCCATTTTAATATTGTCTTATTCTGATACTAACGATACTGTACCTCAAATGCTCGGCTTTATTGTTTTACATGAATCTCTTCTGGTTATTGTATTTCAGTTGATGTAACTTTATCTAAATTACCCATTTTACCTAACAACTTCATAGGGTGCTGGTGTCAACCAGTCGAAAATGATTAAAGGTATGGTATTTCGACGGGAAACCGAAGGAGAGGTCAAGGAAGTTTTTAATGGGAAAGTTGCAATTTTCTCTTGCCCCGTTGATGCCCTTCAAACGGAAACAAAAGGAACAGTTTTACTTACGTCTGCGGATGAACTCACAAAATTTAGTAAAGGAGAGGAGGACTTGATGGAAAAAGTAAATTACTTTTGCGTGTGTTTATCTGAAGTATTTGTTATAATTGAGATATGAAAAGTATACTACTTAGTTTGATAGCTATTGTGATTTAATGTCGATCACTGATTCAAACCACATTATTTATTACAAGCAAGACAAACTACTTCATGTGAGTCCCCTGAATTTCGGTTTTCACTTAGCTAGTCTACGACAAAATTTTTAAGTTTCACTTGCAAAATCATAATATTGTAGACCAAACACGTTACTTATTCTGAGCTGTCTTTCAACCGCAAACAAAAAGCATACTTTTACCATCCCATCTTAGATTGTTTTATTTATTTCTTTATAACTTTCACACCTTACTAGCATTATAAACTGTAGATACAGTCGGAACCTATAACTCTTATTACCTTTTGTAATTTACTCACTTGTCACTAATATTACTTTTTCAGCATATGCGTTCTCTTTCGGATGCAGGAGTGAAAGTTATCGTTAGTGGAGGTAAAGTTGGGGAATTGGCACTACATTACGCCAACAAATTGAATATGATGGTAGTAAAGCTCAGCAGCAAGTTCGATGTTCGACGTCTCTGTCAAGCAACCGGTGCGTCAGCTCTCCCTCAATTAGTAACACCCACTCCTGAGGAACTTGGGACCATTAGTCATGTTTATTCGGACGAAATAGCTGACGCAAGTGTAGTTATTTTCGAACAAGGTTAGTTCACTGGGATATCGTTCTACCTGATTTTGAAAATTTCTGATTACTACAGTCACAGTTAATAATTTCTATTTCTGATTTATAACAGACACACATGAGGGAACCGTCGTTACATTATTGATTCGGGGAAGTACGGAAAACATAATGGATGATGTTGAACGTGCTATTGATGATGGTGTCAACACATTCAAATGCCTTACGCGTAGTCCTAAATTGGTTGCAGGTGCCGGAGCAACGGAAATAGAGCTGGCTCGCCGTCTCGTATCGTACGCTGGTACAGTACCTGGTCTTGAACAGTATGCTATCAGAGAGTTTGCCCGGGCTTTTGAGGTTGTTGTAAAAGTACTTGCCGAAAACTCTGGACAGAAGGTTTGTGAGCTTTAATATATTTGTCTAATTTTTACTACAAGTTCATATAAATAAAGCTAGTGTCACAATAACTGTCTTGTAATTTTATTGGTTTTTGCTTTATCGGGCACATCAAGAATTGGTTTTTGTGTATAAAGGTACTCTATTTTCATGCAACAGTAATCCCCAGTGCTTTGAACCAATCTGTAAACATTGTACCAGACAGCTCTTTGTAATGAGAGTGTTGTTACTCATTCACATGCACGAAACAGCTGTCCAGTGCTTCCAGGTTTTCAATAGCTTTTCAATCTAAATCGGTTCATAATTTTAGTAACATTCTACAATCTCGTCAACCTCATACTGACAAAGATTTTTTTTTTCTTTTCATCTGTCTTTTCATAAGATCACTGAAATAGTTGCTATTTTGTACGCTAAACATGAATCTGGTCAAATACATACTGGTTTAGTCACTCAACCAAATGGTGAAGTATCTGTTAACGATTCTGTCAAATTCGAGGTTTTGGATCTCCATCTTTTAAAACATTGGGCTATTCGACTTGCGACAAATGCTGCGAACACTATACTCCGCGTCGATCAGGTAAACAGTTTAAAATAAATTGTCAAATGTAGGTGTATGCATGTAAATATATTAATCTAGCAAGTGGTAAATCGATTGATAATGAATACATTTACAAATACTTTGATGCCTTTAGTTAAAAAATCTATTTTCTTACAAAACGTAGTTTTCGTTCCGCTCAATATTTGTCCCTTTGAGTTTAGAATAGAGATTTGACTTATTATTTGTAGTGGTAAAAATAAATTATAAGCAAACTATAAAGAGTAATATCAAATTTACGAGTGTTGATCGCTAGAAAAATGTTCATATCTAATTAGTCATATTTCTTTTGATATTCGAACTCCACAGCACTGCTACATTTATGTCAGAAACAGCTCAGTAACCACATACATAGTTGAATTAACCCTTAAGCAGTACATTTCATGCTTCTGTTATACCATCATTATCAATGAATAGAATAAACTGTCTACCATTTATATATCCCTCTTGAATTATTCATACTGACAATGTGTTGCATTCTGTAATGGTTATTAGACCACTGAGATACTATTAGTTGATGTATATCTGATTTCAGATTTCCAGAATTTTAATCTGTCTCTCCCTTTAGTCTATGCCTGTTTTTTTAACTCACTTGTTTCGGAAAACTTTTCAGATTATTATGGCACGTCCAGCTGGTGGACCGAAACCTCGTCAACCGGGAGCTATGGATGAAGACTAATAACACAATAAACCCATTAATAATAACAATGATAGGTTCCTGACTGCATTCGTGTTGTTGGCTTCTCGATTATCTCATTGTAATGTATATTTCGAATAAATTACTGTAAAAAATCTGCGCTTTTTTCCTGGTTTCAAATGGTTTTTCAGCTATGTTCATTTTTTGACTTCTTCCTAAAGCCTGATTGTTTGAATACCTAAATAAATATGTTACAATGCGCCGTATTATATTTGCAGAAATTAAGTTAAAAATAGTAGTTATGAAGCAAAGAAATAGTATCGTCAGTGTGATGAATATGTGTGACAGGTCTCGTTCTGAAGGATTGCTCGCAAAATGTAACTTTTTATGAGCAGAAATGGATGGTGGCTAGCAATAATGTCCAGGGCATTCACTTCGTCTTATTTTGGACCTTTCATCTGGATGTGCCTGCGTCCCAGAGTTGGTGTTCAATTCAGGACTCAAACCCATTACCGTTCGTTTCGAAAACCATCGCGTCCGAATACGTGTATTTCAGTTTAACAACACGAAAATCTTTATGAACACAACGAGTCTTTATTGCACTTTTTATAAGTTAATATTTCGTTGCCAAAAGTGGTTGTATTCACCCTTGTTCATGTGGTCAGATTTTGGTTTTACCGATTAAACTTACGTGACCTGATTTCTTTTGTATAGAAATAGTATCAATAACAACTTGACGGCTAGTGTTTGATAATTGTCACCAAATCACTCAGTCAGCTGCAACGTAAGACCAGGCACATATGTGCATATCATCAATCCATTTATTTTGTTTTTTATGTTATGCCTAAATTAAAAATGGTGTGTACATTTTAGTGAACTATTTTTATGAATTGTTTGAGATACGTACATTATGATCATGGAGAATTACTAAGTATTAGTATTATAATTATCTGATTACACATCATCGATGCTTGGGAATCAATGTTGTGGTTAAATGGTCATTAGTACTCAGAAAACTAATATTTTTCAAGGTTATTCGGTAGCCCCCTCACACAGTAGTGTGAGTTATAGGTTTAATTGAAGTTGTTGATAAGCTAGTTAACGATGCCTTACAAAGAATTTCCATTTTTAGATCTACATTCTTATATATCACATATATTTCGGTTCTTTCTTGTTTAAAGATTCAAACTGACGCTGTTGTGTTGGGAATCATATTACTAATTTTGTTAATCTTCTGTCCCATACATGTACGCAGACCATAACTCAAAATTTGATGACAGTTCTTATCAAGGACATGAAGTTGTTGATTCTGCAGATGATTCGGATGAACCAGTCGATCCCGAATTCATTAATCTTTTAGAAGATATTGAAGGTAATGAACATGAGAACATCGATCTGTACTCCGTTTTGGGTGTTGACAAAAATGCATCGGCAGCTGATCTGCGCATGGCATACAAACGTCTTTCCCTGTTGTTCCATCCGGATAAGCATTCTATTTCGACACCAGAAGATAATGAGAAAATTAATTCAAATTCATCTGATGCGGTGGCTGCATTCAGTCAAATTGCTTCAGCTTATGCGATTTTAAGCAATCCTGAACAACGTGCTATTTATGATAGTTTTGGTTATAGAGGTTAGTCAAGTGGATTTTGCGCCAGTTTTATTTATACTGATGAAATAATAATTAAAAAATCAGACAATTCACTATAGTACCTTAGCATATATTGTTTAAGATATTCGTTCACTTCACATGTGTGTTGACGGGTTTTTCAAACATATTAGGAAGGAATATTACTTCGATAGCTTATTCATATTGTGTAAATTACCAGGATAATTTTCTCGAGTGAAACCGGACCGTTGCGGTGATCTGGCTTGCCTATCATGATGAACAAATCGAGCTACACTGACTTTGACAATCGTTCCTCAAGCTCTTGCCATGCCAAGCAGGTCGATTGGAGAGCGTGAGACTAAAAGTAGCAAACCCAAGGTCTGAAGGTGAAGTCGTACTGCTGACTGTACAGAGCTGTGACGGCAGTAAGGTGTTTCCTTCAGACAACTAGCATAGCAGCGATGCTGCCTTCCCACAAGGAAGGGTTGGTTTGGAAAAAATCGACCCTAAAAATACACACATCGTCTTATCCCACGGATATCCGTCTTAGGCGGTTAGGTCTCAACAGGTACGAAGCTAACACGAAAATTTCTTACAATAAGGTCGTGTGGTACCGATCTCAGGCAGTTGTCCCTTGGGCACTGCGGTTACGCTCCCAGGTCACTGAGATCACCCCTAACCCACTTTCCTTTCCATATGCCTCCAGGAGAATTCTTCCACGGTGTGGGCAACCGGGAGGTGATAACCGCCCTCATACCTCTAACAGCACCCAGGATCACTTTATTCATAATCAATCTCCCTCTTCAATTCCTGTTATTTCTCCCACATCGACTCTAAACTTCGTCTTTTGACTTCAAGTGCCATCATAGCCAACGATTCTAGTGCGCAAAACACTGTCATAGGTGTACTAAAACCTCGCTCCAAACTACACATTAGAGCCTTCAACGTACACGCACTGTGTCAAATCAGCCAACAGGTCTACTTGACTGAGACTCTAGAATCTCATACCATTGATATATTCTGTCTCCGAAACACGCATACAGGATCCTAGTGTGGTCATTCACTTGACCTCACCTCGACAAAAAGGGAAAGCCAACGAGACACACTTCGTGTATCTGGCGATCCGATGACTAGTTCTCGTGGACTGGTAGCTGTAGGCGTAGCACTAAGTACGAGGGCGGAACAAGCACTATTATAGTAGATCTCTGTTAACAGTCGCCTATTTGCTGTTCGGCTAAGTAGCTCTGTAAAACTCGGGAGGATAGGGACACACGTCGTTGCCTTTTTGCTGTATCTGCCTATGCTCCCACTGACTGCAGCCCGGATAAATTGAAAAATGACTTTTGCAGAAAGATTTCTAAACTTCATCAAAAAAGCTGAACGCTCAGACATAGTACTCGTAGGGGGTGACTTTAATGCCCAGGTAGGTAGCTTAAACCAAGCAGCAAGACATTTATGTAGGAATTTCGGTAGTCCGACTCAGCGAACAGATAATGGTGACCGTCTGCTGAACTGTGCTCAGACAGTCGTTTAATTTTAGCAAGCACTAATTTTGAGCATAAGGAGAGACAACGTCTAACATGGCGACGCTAATAAAATGCAGTCTTTTAGTAGCATTGAGCAACAACGCCAGGATGTTTGGGATGCATTTCTCCCCCTATAAATGCAAGTCGTTGCTTCAGAACTGGCCTCCGTCAACACCTGAACTAAGGATAGGGAGTGAAGTTTACAACTTCACTTATCTTCAGTCTGATCAGCCCTAATAGGTTAGTGTCTGACGAAATCTCTTCACGGATTGAGAAAGCTCGTTTGGCTTTTGCCAACTTACGTCACCTATGACGAAAACGAGTTATCCACTTATACTGCACAGCAATTCGTTCCGTTTTACTTTACGGCAGCGAAAAGTGGCCATTAAGAGTAGAAGACACTCGTAGGCTATTAGTATTTGACCACAGATGCCTTAGAAATATCGCTGGCGTCTGCTGGGATCACCGGGTAAGTAATAGTGAGGCTAGACACAGGGTATTAGGGAATGATGGTTAATCAGTTGATGAGGTTGTGAATCTTCATCGACTGAGATGGTTGGGCCACATGTTGCGTATACCTGGACACCGATTGCCACAACGCGCAATGCTGACTAGTGTTGGAGATGGTTGGGAGAAAGTTAGGGGCGGCCAAACCAAAACGTGCCATTAGTCCACAAAGTCACTAACTTCTAGTCTGAACCATGTTGGTAGATGAAGACTACTTGGTTGAGGTCCGCGTGACTATCAGAGCCAATGGTTGGAGACTCTGGGTGACATGGCTCAGAATCGATCACAACGGCGTCGGTGTATACATTCTTTTATCTTTCTTTAAACTATGAGATTAAAATCACTTTATATCTTTCTTTTTACGAACTAATTCTATCTTCCCGTACTATGTCCTCATATGCAACCCTTCTTTTATATATTACCACCACTGAATTAACTACTATGAATTCGGTGTTCATCTTGCTGTGCTAATGAGGTATGGCAACTTGGACCGATCCACACATGTGCCTGGTCCTACCTTGTTGCTGACTGACTCTCGAGTAACATTGATAATTATGGTATGTAAATGACATTAGACTAATCTGGGTTCCTAAATACTCCAAAACTCAAAATAAATATATACATACGTTTTAGAATCTTAACGATCTCAGAAATTTAAACTAATAAAGTAATTTTGTTATGTAGATTGCTCAACTGTGTATATCAAGTCTTTTGTTGATATTCAGCCATATTTCTGACTTTCAAAGAATGTGAGTTATTCGCACAACTATAGTCCCAGCTCAGTATCACAGTATCGTTCGATTGCTGTGATTGGGAATTTTTATGTGTATTGTTTATAACTCATATTTAACCATGAGAAATTATATCCAATGTCCAAGTTTATCAGTACAATTCAGTCACAAGTAAAATAGAACGCGGGATGTGTGTATATCACCTTAAGTGTTCACATAGTGACACACAAAAAAAGAAATTATCGAGACGAACATCAAAGTAGAATTGAAAATCATACACTGTATTCCTTATTATTTCTGTTTATAAATAGCTTCCTATTTTATTATGTTGGTGTCAAAGTATCTATTTCTTTTAGCCAGAGTAAACTGTCACATCCACAGTTATTTGCCCAAAAGTTTATTTGGTTTCTGCGTAAAAATTCACTACATTCAAGTTTTACACTTATTTTTGTACAGAATTCACCTTTAACCATACCCATCTTATGGATTTCTTAATCTCCTATTGTACTATTTACCTGAAAATATTATTTAGCGTAAACTAAGTTTGTATCCATATCTCTATTCAGACGTCAATCTGATGTAATGCCATGTTCACCTCAGTGTTTCATCCAGTATTATCGAACGATTTCAAAAAGTTTTAGGTGGTTTTCCTGTTAGTGATTGTTATGGATTATGTAAATCAAAACGCTACAATCAACCTATTTTACAACACCTTGTAGGGTTTGCAAATGCAGGGGTGGCAAATAGCGAGTTTTCAAAAATCAGCACCTGAACTTCGTTTGGAATATCTTCTTTTGAAAGAAAAAGCTCGAGTTTCAAAGCAACTTCAGTTGACACAACCAACCTCGGAGTTTTCTCTTGGCTTAGATTTAACGGATGTTTTTGATCGTTATTTGAAGGTTAGTTGATATAATAGATATTGGATAGGTCCTCAAAATTTTTCAATACTTTACTGTTTATGTTGAAACTGCTTAGGATAAAGGTGTAGAACATCTGATTTTATTCTCTTATCTGTAAAAGTTCGTGAAGCATATTAGGAAAGTCAGGAGGATTGTGTAGACGTCAAATTCTTGGTCATAAATCGTTTCAAGTCACTTTTCGTGTATGTTGATACCGCCAAGTGATTAGTGTCGAGGCTAAACGTATTGTAATAAACAGATGTGCTGAATCAGTCGATAGTAATGTAAATCCTCATTGACTGATATTTTTAGGACATGTATTACCTGCATCTAAACACCACCCACCTCAACGCACAATGTTTGCTGAGGTTGGAAGAAAGCTAGGGTTCAGCTAAACCAAAAGATGACATCAGTTCACGAAATTATTGACTATTGGGTTTAGCTCTATCAGTAGATCCGGACCACCGGGTTTGAATCAATGAGATAACTGAAATCAATCGTTAGGCGGCGTTGCTCAGAATCGACTACAATTGTGCAGATGTAAATAAAATCAACTATTTTGTTCAAAGATGATTTCTTGTGCAACATGCATTTGTATGTAGGTGGACGTAGATAATTGTATGGTTTGTTATCTGATCGACCAATTTCACTCGTATTTTTGTATATTGTGTGGTGTTGGACGGGTTCGGTATGATTCCTTTGACGAATTTTCCAGTTTGATTAGGTTCTCGGTCAAGCACAGTTTGATTTAGCAACTCTGTTACTTGTTTTACTTTACTGCTGAAGAGGCACTGTGTTCTTGATGTTTTTGAATGTGATATACACGACTATTGTCGATTTGATTTGTAGATTTTCGAGTTCTGTAAAATTATCAAGTCTTTTTGCATAGCGCAGACGTTCCTTAACACGGATCAAGATTTCATTAATGGTTATCACTAACTTTTAAATTCAATCCTATGTTGATATAAATGAAGTTTTGTCTTTTGTCCAAACGAAAACATTTGAAAGTTGGTTGTTTCTTTTTAGAATCCTAAAGTTAAACGTAAACAGTATCATCTAAACCATTAATCCTAACTATCTATCATACTGCAAAATCATTTAATGTAATATTCATCACTATATTACTCGTTATTATAATGCTTGGTGTGAAGCTGATTTATCTTATTGTTTATTTTATTGTTATAGGAGCCACCAGAGGATCGTTCATTGATTCCAATTCCATCAATTTATGAGCTTTCTGTTGCTCAATCTATCAATGCTGGTATCAGCATAAAAAACTCAGTAAGTTTAGCTGGTCAGGTGACAGCCCATAATGGTGTAGGGATAGGGACATTTCTTGCTATATGGCGGCATCACTGCTCCAGAAATTCAATTTTCGGTCCAACTACAATCGATACCGAGGTGAGATGATAATTTGTTACTGAATAAACCTTATATCCAGTTCGTTGTATAAACTTCAATAAATTTTTATGCGCTTTACTACTTAAACTGTTCAAAAATTTTATTTTGTTTTTCTCACAGTTTTCTTACGGTCGCGCTGGTCGTGGATTGGGTACTGGTATACGAGCAAGGCGAACTTTTGGACAGCGTCTCCATGGTAGTTTAGGTTTATCTCTAGCTAGTTTATATGAAAGATCTCCCAAGTCGAGTATAAATCTAATCCCTGGTATTTCTGCTGGTGTAAATGTCCAGTTGTTATCTCATGTACATGCACACTTGGAGTTACGTTGTCTCATGAATCCAGGTATATCGAGTGAATTGTTCTTTACTTCTGCTGACGGTGAGTATAATGCCCGAATTTCAAGTAAACTTAACGCATCCGGTTATGCAAGCCTTTCCCTGTTACTAGAAAAGTCCGTCTCGTGGACTTGGCTAAATCCACCTCGAGGATCTGGTGTAATTGATAAAGAAAATGTTCCTGGACCTGATTGTGAATGGGCAGATTCAGATAATTGTGATTTGGAACAACAGCGACGCGGTAAAGGCAATATATCATGCACCATTGGTGTTAACACCACAGACATTGGTGAATTCTCTCTAGGTGCACAATGTCAAATTTCCGCTCATTCTAGAATCGCAGGTCAGATTCGTCTGAGCATTCAAAAAGGTGTAACTGTTAAAATTAGCCTTTTACGAGGTACTCAGACATATTCTTTTCCTTTTATTCTGTCTGATCACCCTGACAGAGTTGCTTTTGGTTACGGTTTAATTTTCCCCATACTTGCATTTTCGGCTATTCGCATGTTGGTCTATGAACCTTATCTATCTCGTCAGTTAAAAATTGCACAAAAGTTTCGAAGAGCTAAACTGCGCGAAGAACTGAACAGAAAACGCCGTGAAGCATTGTCCACTCAGGAACTCATGAGGAGAGCTGCATCACGAAGTAAACGGAATGAAATGTCTATTTCCGGTCTTATCATCGATCAGGCAATATATGGTTGCCTTTCACCAACCTCTGATCCCACTACTTTATCTGATGCTGGTGGTCCACTTACGTTTGATGTGACTATACCCCTCCAAGCTATGATAGAAAAAAGTCACTTACGCTTACCACCTGGTCGGTGGTGTGATTTCCAAGGTTTCTATGACCCCTGTGTTGGTTTGTTAGAAAATCCACGTCAACTTCGTGTGTCATATACTTTCCATAATTTTCCTCATGAGGTCACTGTCAATGAAAATCAAGGTCTAGCTATCCCAATGTCCAAGCATAAAGTTGAAATTCCTTAATTCATGTAAAATTATCTCCGCGTTGTCTTTCAACTTAGTTAATATATTATCTCCACTGTGCAACCTTTCGTAGGAATCTTGACGTACTTCACTGTTGCACGTTGTTGTCATTACTCTCTTGTAATCCTATCGTTTTCATTTTGTTTGGAAATTGAGCACAACACTATCTGTTTGGTCCTTGCATTCTACAGATGAAAGCATTTAATCCAGTGATTACCTCTGTTGATCTTGATTGTAGATAAAATAATTTTTATTCTGAATATATTTTCCCAATTCATTATAATGAAGTTGCACATCTTTTCATTTATGTTCTATGCTAGTTAGCTGTACAGTTATTAAATAATGTTCATAGATAAAAACAACACTTGATCCTTTTTATTATTTCTTGAATTTACTTCATGAATTGCTATGGTTGTTTGAAAGTGGAAATTAGTCACACACACACACACTCAACGTTAATCCAACCTTGGGTCATAAATAACCTAGTGATCATAGGCTTCGTGTTCTCTAAAAAGATGTCGCTAAGAGCCCAAGGAAACTGCTTGCTCTCAAAAGTTCTAAAGCATACTTGTTAGCAATTTTTGATTAAGCTCTTTTTATACAAATTTTGATCAATTTCATTTTTAATTTGTAAGAAAAAGATAAATGTATCATAATCGTAGTAGGATCGAAATCTACACTTTCGGTGCATGGCTAGAGTTTGGTAAAAATGTGTCGCTAAGGAATATGTGTTAATTCAATAACAAGAATGAAGTATCCAATTGCGCCAAACAATTCCGATGTTTTTTAGTTCTGGTAAATGGTCTGATCACAAGCAGAACTTTATGGAATTCAAAATAATTAACCTCTTTGATCAAATTGGACAATATATTGTAACATAGTCCCGATTAACTTTGTCTTCTCATCCTATTGTCTAAAAAAATGCATAAGCAATCGTTATTTTTGAATAAAGTTAATCAGTTTTATTGATTACGCTTTATGATTATGGGCCATATAAACTACAAGGTGGAAACATGATGTTCTTTTGTTTTGAGAATCGATGGAAAACCTTATACAAATTCCGAAGTAGTACATTGTTTCTTTGTCAGAATAAGTCCACTCTGTAGGTGTAATAAGATGATCTATCACATGTATGGTTCCTCGTTATTATATCCGTCCATCCTGTTAAACTAATTTATTAGTCTCGGTCGGAATGTTTTTTCATGTTATCGCTTTAAATCTATGATACTCGGAGATAAATATTTCAGTTCTTTCTTTAAAACCGCTAAATGAAATTAGCAAAGTAGATTTTAAGCTTGTTATAGAACGAAAAGTGAGAATGTTTCAACGTAACAGTTACACATAACAACATAGTCAATGTGTGCAATATTTGCCTGTATACTGGTTAAAATCAAACTATACAGTCAATTACACATTAAGTTATCAAGATTATAAAAATACGGTTGCATTACGGAAAATCACGGTTCAATACAACAGATTAGTTATATGTTAGGACGAAAACTGGAACTTCCAAAGAAAATCAAGACGGAAGAAAACTAAATAAAAAAATCCGACTACTATGATGTGAAATTACAAAATAGTACTTTACGTAAACAATGTTTAGTATTTGTAGTATTAACATGTAAAATATAAAGTATCATTTTTTTAGTTTAGTGATTTGAGTTACAATAATTGTAACAGTTCAATTAGTCTGTTTTTCTAGCACTGGTAGTGTCGATTGAATAGCAATCGCCATCTGTGTGTTCCATAACTATGTACAGAGAGCTTGGGTTGGAGATTAATATTTTCATTATAATTATTGTGTAATGCTGAATAATTGACTTCTATGTCAGTTGTAAATACCCCGATTTGTCTCTACTAATAGTTGTTTTTCCGAGAAGTTCTGTACATTCTTCCATCTCTCAACACACTTCTCATTGGAGACCTAGGTTATTATTGACCGTAGAACACTGAAGTCATTAAAACATAAAGCTGACATTCAGTATTCATAATAAAAGTCTTATGACCTTTATTTCTATATGTCCTTCAGCCGGATCACTTGATATAATTGGTCAGCTACAGCGTATGACCAGACACATATACATCGTTCTAAGCTGTCATACCTCATTAGCACAAGATGAACACGATAATTATAAAAGTAGTTACTTCAGTCGTAGTAATATATAAAAGAAGGATTGTGCATAAGGATATAATACAGAAATAAAGGATTAGGAAGTTTTAGAGTAATCTTAATCTGGCTATATAAGAGGAGACAAAGGGTGTATGCATCGACGTCATTGTTATGTATTATGAGCCATTGCACCCGGGGTCCCATACATTTGTTACGTTATCCGCGCGGACCCCATCACTACAATATGTAAACCTGACTCCGTAGAACGTTTTAACGACAGGTTATCCTGATCAACGATCAAAAATACCATTGATCTACAACACAACAGCTCTGTTGTGATATGCCTCTACCGTCAATAGTTGTAGATTCTGGGTTTTCATCTGAATAGTTCTTATATATGTTACGTCTTTATGGTTAACCTATCGTAACATTTCAGGACATGTGTTGTTGGCGTCTGTTTATGTTCCAACTTCAAATTGATTAAATTTCACTATCACAAATACCGAACACAACTTATGTATGACACTAGGCGTTGCTACATCTATGAACTGAGGTAACCTTGAAAAGTCTCAAGGAATGTCTGCAGGAAGTCGTAGTGTTCGCTAGGTGCTTTGATGTACGCAGCTTCTTCCAGGATCTAGAAAGCATTAACAGGGCATTTTTGTTGGGAGACTTGATGGCTTTCTCCCTCCATTTTATAACATTACTTATAAATTTCTCTCAAGTGGTTGTTTTAACATCAGTTCGTGGTTCAAGCTCGCACAATCTGCTAAATTTAATCCCGTTATTCATTAGCAGGTTTAACTTTGTCCTACTCAATATTCGATAAAACTGGAAAGAGTTTGTTGAAATACTATTTGGAATCTGCCATAGATTTCTGTGCTAAATATAAAGATTTAAAATTGATACTAGGGAGATAACCTGGTAACTTATTTTTTAGAGTACATCGATCCTCTAATAGTCAAAAAGTACCCAGATTACGATAGAGCACAATCATTTTAGCCCAAATAAAGCAATTAAAAAATTCAGATCTTCGAGCAGACGGTCATTTCGTACCAGCTTCATTCACTAATTCCTGATACTACCAGTGTTGAATTATATATTCCCGACACATGTACTGTTTCTTTGCGATGATATAAATTTAAATTCTGTATATGTTCTCGTTAGTGGTGGTCCAGAATAAATGGAAAAATTGTCAGTTTTTAAGTTACTAAATGAAATATTCAAGGTTCTAAGAATTCATAGTTCAATAAGTGATCCTATTTATTTAAAGGTATACGTTGATTATGTGTATGACAGATAATTAGCAGTAGGTAAATTAGTGCACGGAATATCTTGGGTTTTCCTCGTGTATTGTTTGCATTATTAGAAACAAGGAATCGGTTTTTGAGCGATAAACAATCGTGAAAATATTTTCGCACCTTAAATGTATATAAAATACCTTGCAATCAGTGACGTATATTTAAAGGTTGAATGGTATTTTATAAAATATTGATAAAAACTTTACGATGTATGTTCAGTCGGTCAGTAACAACGTAGAATTTCCTACCTACATACATAAATTCGAATTTCCACACCACATAGGCACATAAATACAACTGTTGATCCAAATCCTATAGCGGTACAGGTAGTAAAAATTTTTTAGAATAATCTAAGCTGTAATCGGAAGATTAGGGTTTGGAGATGTTATTCAAGGGGTATAATCCAGTGAAATAAATTTGGAAAGAGAAAAAAAGGCGTGAAGAATTCAGGAGATTAGAATTTGGGAGAGCACCTGCGCAATTGCAAATGAGTTTGAGCTATGCCATTCAAGGTCTCTAATCATCGGTTGCTATCATCTCGCGGTCCCCAACCAGGTAGTCTACACCCACCAACATGGCTCAGTCCACTTGTCAGTGTTTCCGTGAATTTGTACCATGTTTTGGTCTGACCGCCCCTAGCTTTCTCCAACCTACCCTACACCACAAAACATCGCACGTCCGATCAGTCGGTCGTTGAACATATGTAGAACATTTCTCAGCCAACTTAACTGATGAATTTTCACTACTTCAATTGCTTTGCCATCCTTATCCACTACCCGTTCTCTAAAAACTGCTGTAATCACTCGGTAGTCCCAGGATATACGAGGAATGTTTCGAAGACACCTATGATCCAACACTAGTAACCTATGATTATCCTCAACTCTTACCAGCCATGTTTCACTGCTATAAAGTAGGACGGAACGAACTGCTGCGCAGTAAACACGTCCTTTGTTTGATAGACGGATATCTCGCCTACGCCATAAATGACGCAAGTTGGCAAAAGCTAGTCGAGCCTTCTGTATCCCTGCTGGGATTTCGTCACACACCAGACCACAAGGGCTGATGAGACTCCCCAGATAAGTGAAGCGGTCGACACGCTCAATTACTTTGTAGCGTGGCGTCGAGTCGAAATTGACTATGAACACCGCTACCAAGAAACACGTGCCAAATAGATCAGAAGGCGTAAGAAGCTCGTTCCAAATGACTCCATAAAATCCCCGAGAAGCCGAATACCAGAAGGCAATTAATGGACCAAGTCGAGTTATATTTGCTGGCGATCTCGTGGCATCGAAAGGATACCGAGATCGTGCCAGGATACAACCTTGGTTACAGAAGGTAACCGAATTCGCGCGAAGTTACAATCGAAGTGTAAGTATAAGAATGGAAGCACGAAATAGCTGTCATTAGCACAGTCAAACAAAAGCACATTAAAACAAACACTGGTACAGTTGGTTATAATAATAATTGTTTCTATTAAACCAGTCGTGTTCTCGTGATAAATGTGAGTCACTACAGGAGCCCCCCGCTAGAAAGGGTTTACACTTTCGATAAATAGCGGTTTGAATCGTGGGACTGATCGGCTGACGAGCGATTGTAGGACGGAAGAATTGGCGAACAGGAAAGCGATCGTTGATCGTCGAGTTGCCAACGAAGGTCGTTTTCGGAGAACGGTACCAGGAGCGATGTGCTGTATTTGTTGCTTGAGTTGGCATGCTACACGAGAGTGGTTTGTATCCAGAATCTGAAGAGGGCGTTCGTAGGGTGCGGACCAGAAACGCTGCAGACGAAGGACGAAACCACGTTGAGCCAAAAGACCAGAAGCGACCATAACGACCAAGTTCGAGACCAAGCGTATGCCAAGCATTCGAAACCAAATATCGACTGAGTGCGTTGACAAGAGCATGGGTGGCCAGTCCAGCTTTCGCCAAAGTTGACTGAAGTCGACGGAACCAAACGGAGATGGTCGAAGGCGTGGGCTCAGGAAACAAAAAGAAAATCAAAAAAGAGAAGAGTGTAGCATGCGTGTAGTATAGGAATAATCCTACACCGTATCGTTTTTAACTGTGCGGCTAGTCGCGGAAGCGTACGGGTAACCGTACTCGGCGACCGGAACGTGAGACGGTAGTCTCGTTCGCGTCGCGTGAGCCTGCAATCTCATCCGAAGTCAAGGGCGGCGTGGTCTGCTGATCTGGACGTGAGACTGTCGTCTCATCCGTAGACGGTGCAGATGACGCGTGCTGTTGACTGGGACGTGAGATTGAGGTCTCAGATGTATCTAGCGTGGGACCTGAAGATGGTTTGAGGATCCCGCTAGTAGGTTTGCTAGGTCTAGCATTGAATCTCAGGTTATCAGATAGGGCACTGTCATCGACGTGTGCTGGTTTGAGACGATCAATGCTGACGATCTCGACGCGTCCATATCGATCAACCTTGAAGGTCTTTTCGTGACGAGCGATCACGTGAAAAGGGCCTTCGTAAGGTTGTTGCCAAGATTTGCGTACCGAATCTACTCGTATGAAAACATGTGAACAGGTAGATAACTCTCGAGGGAGAGCGACCTGTCGATGTTGTATTCGAGTTGACACCGGAGACAGCGTTC